ACACCACATGTAGGCGAGAGGACCCATCAGACCAGCTCCCGACTCGGATCCCTCGAACTCGGAATCTCAACCTAGTGACTCTCAGCAGAAAAACCGAGAAGAAACAGAAACAAAAGCAAAAGCAAATATAAGATTCTTTTCTTATCAGTAATTCTATTAATCATTCCTTGTCTGCCATCTACAAAAGGGAAAAGAAAAAGAAAAAGCAGAAAGAAAAAGAAGATAAAAAGAAGCAGACATAATTGCGATGGTGATGGAATAGAGAAGAAGGAATTATAGGCGTAACCCATTGAGCAGAGGGTCGGATTTATTTTTAAATCGTATCTTTCGGAGATATCTGTATAACCTTATCAGAGGGTAATAATAAAAAAATAAAAATAATAATAAAAAAAACGGCAAGCCCAAAATAATGGGCTGGAGTGTTATGTGAAGGGTGAAGGCCCATATGCCCAAAAGAGCTAGGCCCTCTATTATCACTAAGGTGATCAAAAGTACGTCCAGTACTACAAAAAATTATTCAGCAGCCTGCCGTTATTATCACCAACCAGGTGATCAAAAGTACACCCAGTACTCCAAAATTATTCGGCAGCATGCTGCTATTATCACCAACCAGGTAATCAAAAGTACGTCAAGTACTACAAAAATTATTCGGCAATCTGCCGCTATTATCACCAACCAGGTGATCAAATGAATGTCCAGTACTCCAAAATTATACATGAGCATCACTCATGTCAATCATACATAAACATTCATGAGCATCACTCATGTCAATCATACATAAACATTCATAACCATCATTCATGTCAACATTCATGAGCATCACTCATGTCAATATTTATGAGCATCACTCATGTCAATATCCATGAGCATCACTCATGTTAATCAACATAAACATTCATGAGCATCACTCATGTCAATCAGCTTCGAAAGCTTCATTTACAGAGCTCCAGTTTCGAGGGCTCTAACTTCGAAAGCTTCATTACAGAGCTCCAGCTTCAAAGCTTCACTTGCAAAACTTCACCTACAAAGCTTCAGTGCAGGGTATATAAATACCGCATCCGAACAACCACCACTTCGGCCGATACATGGATTCAATTTGAAGTCTCCAGCCAACAGACTCTATTGACTGAAGACTTGGGGGACTACATTATGTACCATATATTGGACCTCAACTGGGCCTCATGAAAAATACTTGGGGGACTTAGTCCATTATTTGTGTACTGAGAAGCGAGCCCTTTATTCTATAAAAGGGACTCCCTCACTTTCATTAGAGAGCACCCATTATTCATGTACTGAGGAACGAGCTCTTATTTTATAAAAGGGACTCCCTCACCTTCATTAGAAAGCATCGCCACCAGCTGAGCAACCGCATCGCCATGAGCATCACTCCTAACCCATTATTCATGTACTGAAGAGCGAGCCCTTATTTTATAAAAGGGACTTCTTCACCTTCATTAGAGAGCATCGCCGCCAGCTGAGCAACCGCCTCGTCGCGAGCATCACTCCTAACCCATTATTCATGTACTGAGGAGCGAACCCTTATTTATAAAAAGGACTACCTCACCTTCATTAAAGAGCATCGCCGCCAGCTAAGCAACCGTCTCGCCGCGAGCATCACTCCTAACCCATCACTTATGTATTGAGGAACGAGCCCTTATTCTATAAAAGGGACTCCCTCACCATCATTAGAGAGCATCGCCGCCTACTGAGCAACCACCTCGCCGCGAGCATCACTCATAACTCATCACTTATGTATTGAGGAGCGAGCCCTTATTCTATAAAAATGACTCATTCACCTTCATTAGAGAACATCGCCGCCAGCTGAGCAACCGCCTCGCTGTGAGCACCAACTCTAGCCCATCATTTTTGTAATAAGGAGCGAGCCCTTATTCTATAAAATGGACTCCCTCACCTTTAACGTCACAAGCCGAGCCAACCAAGACAACATAAGCCACAAACCGAGTAGCCTCGCAACATGTGCTACTTCTAGTTGAGCATCACTTCAGATTGAGCACCGCCTCATATCGAGCATCAGTTCAAGACAACATCTAGTTACTTCGGCCCATACATGGACTGAATTTCAAGTCTCCAACCAAAAGACTTTCTTGACTGAAGACTTGATAAAATTTTCTATACTATAGATGATTTTATAAATATTATATAAATTTTTTATATAATATTCTAAATATTATGTGCTATTTTATCTATACTACACATTAATAAAATTTTCTTTGTCAATCAAAACAAAGTGAAAATACATTTTTGTCTTCTATCACAACCAAAAAGTTAAGGACAGTAACGTAATTTTATAAAGCAAAATTTTGGTGTTTTTTGTTTAAACCTCAACTACAGATGATTTTATAACTTTAATTTAAAAAAAATAAATAAATAAAAAGACATACCTTTCTCACTTTCTCCCACTTTCACGTTTTCTCTCACTCGCTTTCTCTCCTTCAAATTAACAAAAATAAAAATTTCACATGAACTTTATGTGTGAGCATATACTAGTATATTTAATCATAAGCGATTTGGTTCGGATAACCCACGTGCTGTAAAAATAAAAATTGCATATAATTGATATTTTTGGTTTGGTTTGTCATATAAATTGAAATGCGAAATAAAAAAACCAAACCAACTCCAATGATTTTGTTTAGTTGATTTTCAGATTTTTGATTTGTTCGTCCAACCTTGACTTTCCAAAGAAAACTAAAAATAATTAACTAAATGATCAAAAACTAAATTTTGTTTGCGAAACTGATAAAATCAAATGATTGATATATAAGCCTTATATTATAATCTCAATTTAAAAAAAAAAAAAAAAATTGGTCAGATTGGCAGATCATAAGAACATTCAATTTTTGCCCGTTACCCCTGCTTCTTGAAAGTGGAGCACGTGAGCCCTTTGCAATTCGTTAGAAATTTTTTATTTTTTTTACATTGATATTTTTATATCATGGGTAAAAGCAGTTAATATCGCGATATGACATCCAAAAATTCTTAAAAATTTTTGAAAAATCTCAATTTTAAGACTAAAGGGATCCGAACCCCCTCCCATTTGACTCTTAACGCCTTAACCACCATATCACTTATGTTGTTGTGATAATATGCTACTATATTTATATATATGGTTTTGTTTTGAATTCTTTTTACAAGAAACAAATTTGCACATATTCCAAATTTTTTGTGGTATTATATTTTAAATTGTGTCAATTAATTACTTAGTCAATGGCATGTGGTTTTTAATTTTTCTATTTTTTATTTGATCACTTACATGGTAGGGCTGGAAAAAATTCCCGAAAATCCCAAATCAAACCGAAAAAGTCCCAAACCCAAACCGAAAAATCCCAAACCAAAACCATCCTGAAGTTCGGGAATCCCATCCCGAAAAATACCGAAATTTTCGATATGGGATTGGTTTCCAAATCCCATTTGTTTGGTAATCCCGAAAAATACCGAAGTATTCGGTTTCCTATTGACTTTTGGGTTTTGGTTCTTAAAAACCATTGTCATGGTTGCTGACTACTCTTCATAATACACTTACTCTACAAATAGAGATGATGAAGATAGTGAAAATTTTGAACCTCATAGGAACTCTATGTGGTACTAAGTCACTCATGTATCTTACTATGCAATGTATAAAGTGTAAAATATTGTACTAATTCATTATATATAAATGATTATGGTGTGTTTAAACTTCTTTCATTAATTACTACATATTTTCTACATTCACAATGTTTGCCAACTTGCTATATAATCAACTTAAATCAGTTAAATCCATCATGCAATGCATTTCCTTCCAATTTTTTGTGATAAACTAATAGATAATTGACTAAATAAACATCCTGCAAATTTTCAATAAAAATTTCCAAGTTTTTCTTACAATTTCCGTGGTTTCCATGTAATTTTTATCGATATCGATATCGATATTATCCCGATATTTCCATCGATATTTCCGTGTTTTCAGACTACCGATATTTCCGATATTACCGATATTTTCTTCCTTGAGAAACACTACCTTAAAATCATCAATTAATAACAAAAATATAAAATGAAAATACATTCCAATTTCTTGTCCAAAAAAAAAAAAAGTTAGTTGATCACCATTTTTAATTGGCCTAATTGGATAAATGGTCCCCGTGGTCATAAGGTATTCGGATGATAGCCCCTGTGGTAAAAAAATTCGGATTTAAACCCCTGTGGTCTAAGTCTGTTAGGATTTAAACCCCTGTGGTATAAGTCTGTTAGGATTTATGCCCTTCTGTTAAATAATGCTGATGTGGCTGCCACATATATGCCACGTGGCTGCCAAATGTCTGCCACGTGGCAAAAATAATATTTTTTTTTTTTAAACCTGAATTTTTACAAAAAAAAAAAAAAAAAAAACCCAGATCTGCAAGAAGAAGAAGAAGGAAGAGGGAGAGGGAGAGGGAGGAGGGTGCGGGGAGAGGGCTCCAGCGAGGGGGAGCTGGTCTCCGGCGGGAAGAAGAAGAAGAAGAAGAAAAAGAAGAAGAAGAAGAAGAAGAAGGAGAGTCGCGCGGGAGACCGGCGGGAAGAAGAAGAAGAAGGAAGAAGGAGAGGGAGGAGGGTCGCGCGGCGGGGGGGGGGGAGCTGGCCTCCGGCGGGAAGAAGAAGGAGAAGAAATCCGGCCGGGGGGGGGGAACGGGCGGAGGGCGGGAGGAGTTTCTGGGTTTTTTTTTTTTTTTTTTTTTTGTAAAAAAATTCAGGTTTAAAAAAAAAAATATATATATATTATTTTTGCCACGTGGCAAACATTTGGCAGCCACGCCAGCATTATTTAACAGAAGAGCATAAATCCTAACAGACTTAGACCACAGGGGTTTAAATCCGAATTTTTTTACCACAGGGGCTATCATCCGAATACCTTATCACCACGGGGACCATTTATCCGATTAGGCCTTTTTAATTACAAAATCTCAACTAATTAAATATTATATGAAAAAAACAAAAACAAAAAAATATAGAAATCAAATTTACGAATTTACATCTCCATCTGTTCATAGCTTCTGTCTCTTTCTCTCCGCTCTGAAAAAAATCTAGAATCCCTTCTTCTCCTTCCTCCTCCGTTTCCATTTGATTTCCCTCCACAGATCTCCAAAATTCTCTCTCTCCCAAACCCTAATTTTCTCTCTCTACACACTCTCTATTTCCCTCTTTCTCTCTGTCCGTCTAAGCAATCCACACTGATCGATTTCTTCCGCCGATGGTTCTAAAAGCTTCATGAATCTTCCCGATAAGGCGCGCTTCTCGCTCTTCATGGACCACCGCCACCGCCCTTACCATGCCTGAGCTGCGACCACGGAGAAACCGGGCGCCCGATAACCCTGACCCGAACCGAAACCCGCACCCGATCATCAAGACCCCGCCCCGGAAGGCGACTGTACGGACTCGGCAGAACAAGAAGAATAATAATAATCAGAAGAAGAAACAGATTAATAATCAGAAGGAAAAGAAGGTAGCTGGTGCCGGCAAGCGTAGGAGGGCCGAGGGTGGTCCGGTGATTGAAAAGAGGTCGTTTAAGGAGGAGGCTGGTGAGAGAGCCATGGACGAGTACGATAGCGGCGGCCGCAGTGGCGATAAGGGTCCCGGAGCTGACGATGAGGGCGCAGCTCCTATTCCCGAGAAGGTCACTCTTTTTGTTCACTGCCTGCATTCCATTTCACTTTATTTAAAAAAAAATTAAATCTAAATATTATTCTTTGATTTTTTTTTCAATTTTTTTTTTTGTTGGGTTTTTGTTTGGATGATGTGTGGGCTGAGGGAAGGAGAAAAAGAGAGACTTTTTGTGTATTTTGTTTGTTCCATTCAAAGTCTCAGTCTTTATTTCCACGTTTAAGTCGTATAAGCTATTAACTTTGAGGAAGGTCTTGAAAGTCTCGCATTCGCTGTTCTTATTTCGAGTGGGATGGGGGGAATGTGGTATTTGTATATCTGTTTTTCATTTACTTAAGTGGGCAATGAACTCTTTGTGAGTGGGGAAGTGGCAGCAAAATGCAGTTTGCTTCGTAATAGTATGTGCTTCAGCTGGGAAATATTTGATTAGCATTTCATTGTATTCTTTTTGACAATTTTGTTCGTTCTCGGATTTATTGACAACAGGTCCAGGTTGGTGGTTCCCCGGTATACAAAATAGAGAAGAAATTGGGGAAAGGAGGCTTTGGTCAAGTATATGTTGGTCGACGCATGGGGGCCGGCCCTGGAGCTGTTGAGGTGTGCAGTCATCTTTTTTATGTCCCCTTGTGGAGTAACATCATTGAATAATCTGTTTTCTGGAAAGAAAACAAGTGTTATGTCGGGTTTGTATTAACATATCTGTTTCATCTAGGTTGCTTTGAAATTTGAGCATAGAAGTAGCAAAGGATGTAATTATGGTCCACCTCATGAATGGCAGATTTACAAGTAAGAGGCTCCCTTTTCTCTTGTAATATGTTTGATGGATAGATATCACTTTCTCACCCTCACTGTCTTGTATTGTGACCCACTTAATTGTATGTCTATCCAGTGCACTTGGCGGTAGTCATGGGGTGCCAAGGGTTCATTATAAGGGTCGGCAAGCTGACTACTATATCATGGTATGAGTTGTTTGCTTAAATTTCATTTTAGGTGTAGTTCCTAATTAACGTAGTTTCAGAATTATAAATCAACCCTACTCGGTATACAGGTGATGGATATGCTTGGGCCTAGTTTGTGGGATGTCTGGAATAACAGCTCGCACACGTAAGTTCTTCCTGTCTTTATAATGAAAATGTCAACCCTGTTAAAAAGATTTTCATTTTTCACCTTACTGTTCGCTTGCAACACTTAACACTGTCTGCCTATCTGACACTCCTACCTTTTAAATTTCAGGATGTCAATTGAAATGGTTGCATGTATTGCCATTGAGGGAATATCCATATTGGAGAAGATGCACTCTAGAGGGTGATATTTTATTTCAGAATTTCTTTCAATATAGTTATAGATTGCAATGTACCTGGCTTCATAATCTCTGTGATGATGTTGATGACAGTTATGTACATGGGGATGTAAAACCTGAGAACTTTTTGCTTGGCCCCCCTGGAACTGCCGAGGAGAAGAAGCTGTTTCTTGTTGACCTTGGACTAGGTAAGTCATTGTTATAGAATCTCCTTACAGCTGAAATTACTTGTCAAGTTAATTTACCTAATGCGTTGTCATCTCATTGCCTGTTTTTACGTGACAGCCACCAGGTGGCGAGATTCGACTGGTCTGCATGTCGACTATGATCAACGTCCAGATGTTTTCAGGTGAAATAAACATTGATTAATTATTTGACTGTAAATATGACGATCTTTGCAAGTAATCCAAAAACACAAAGAGATTTTACTTATTGGTATACTGATTATTAATGTGCTGCAGGGGAACGGTGCGGTATGCTAGTGTGCATGCTCATCTTGGTAGAACTGGTAGCAGGAGAGATGACTTGGAATCTCTAGCTTACACCCTGATATTTCTTCTTCGTGGTCGGTTGCCATGGCAAGGATATCAGGTTGATAATTTCAAAATTTGTGTACGCTTATGCTTGTATCTGATTATGTATGCCACTCTAACACAAATACACTATATTTTTTAGGGGGAAAATAAAGGATTTCTTGTCTGCAAGAAAAAGATGGCCACTTCCCCAGAAACTTTGTGTTGCCTCTGCCCTCAGCCATTCCGACAATTTGTTGAGTATGTGGTGAATTTGAAGTTTGACGAAGAACCAAACTATGCAAAGTATATATCCCTTTTTGATGGAATTGTTGGCCCAAACCCAGATGTCAGGCCAATAAATACTGATGGTGCTCAGAAGGTATTTTGAATGTTCTTGCATCTATGCAGACTATGTTTTATGGATGTTAGTTATAGATCTTCATTTGGAGTTCAGCTAACTTATACTCCTTGCATTGGAAAGCTTATATGCCAAGTTGGACAAAAGAGAGCAAGATTGACCATGGAGGAAGAGGATGATGAGCAACCAAATAAGAAGATTCGTATGGGGATGCCTGCAACCCAATGGATTAGTGTATACAATGCTCGTAGGCCTATGAAGCAAAGGTATATCCTTAGAATTTGTATATCCTTAGAATTCTTACACTGGAATTTATAAATTCAAATTTGACCTATAAGTTTATGTTTTCATTTGTTGTAGATATCACTATAATGTTGCAGATGTGAGGCTCTCCCAGCACATTGAGAAAGGAAATGAAGATGGGTTATTAATTAGCAGTGTGGCTTCCTGTTCAAATCTTTGGGCTCTTATTATGGATGCTGGCACTGGCTTCAGTGCCCAAGTTTATGAACTCTCTCCATATTTTCTGCATAAGGTTAGTGATCCGTCATATCAAGAATGGTTGTCTTATGACGTTGAAACTCAGCTTGCAACAAGCATTGTTGTTTATATCAGTGGATTTTTTTCTCTTTTAGATTACGGTACATAGACGATTATGACTATTTCTTGTTTAAATGAACACATCATCATAATATTTCTCTGTTTTAAAGGAATGGATTATGGAGCAGTGGGACAAGAATTACTATATTAGTGCGATAGCAGGAGCAAACAATGGAAGCTCTTTAGTTGTAATGTCTAAAGGTTAGTCTAAGCATCTGTGGTTCTGTAGAGCTACCTTGTCAATCTAATTGTGCATCTGTGGTTCTGTAGAGCTGCATTGCAAGTCTAAATGTCTAACTGGTCCTCTATTGCTTTATACAGGGACCCAATACTTACAGCAGTCCTATAAAGTCAGCGAGTCATTTCCTTTCAAGTGGATTAATAAGAAATGGAGGGAAGGATTTCATGTTACAGCAATGGCAACTGCTGGGAGTAGATGGGCTATTGTTATGTCCCGCGGTGCTGGATTTTCTGACCAGGTTTTATTTGGATTACCAAATATCCTTTCTATTGATATGCACGTTGGTGTGGAGAAAATATAGCTGATAATTGTATTTTGCCTCCCTTGAAATGAGCTATTTTAGGTTGTGGAACTAGATTTTCTCTATCCAAGTGAAGGCATTCATCGAAGGTGGGATAATGGTTACCGCATCACGTCAACTGCAGCAACTTGGGATCAGGCAGCTTTTGTCCTTAGTGTTCCAAGGAGAAAACCGGCAGATGAAACTCAAGAGACGCTTCGGACTTCTGCTTTTCCTAGTACACATGTTAAGGTGGAATATTTGATTACTCATTTTCTTCGTGCTTGCCTTTCCCTTTTTATTCTTCTTTCTGAAAGCTCAAGTTTCTCTATGGCAATTGTGCAGGAGAAATGGGGAAAGAACCTTTATATTGCATCAATTTGCTATGGTAGAACTGTCTCATGAACATGCAAGTAGATGCTGCTGATGGAATTCTGATAATTCACCTTTATGAGCCGGAAGCCAGCTTTTACCATGTAGTGCCTGTTCAGAATGAAAAGATCCTCTCACGGGAAATTGATTGGTCTTGGCATTTTGGGAGTTGATGTACGCTTAACTCTTCTTTATTGCCACCATAACATAGCATCTGTTACAAGTACATGTGCACTGTCTTCAATCTATTGACCTTATTATATATCTCACTGGGAAGTTGTTTATTCGCTCCCATAGTGCAAAAGTTTGTATATTGCCGAGCAATAATTCCTTGGGTTGAAGGAATGTGCACAAGTCATGTTTTGATTATCGATAGAATATGGGAACGTACATCTATGACTAGCTGTGATTTTGGACATTCTTATCCCTTCAGTTTGTGCTTAGTTTTTTTTTTTTTTTAGATTTTATTATTTTATTATTTTATTATTTTATTATTTTATTATTTTTTTATTTTTTTATTTTTTTTATTTTTTTATTTTATTTTGAAGGGGTGAGCTTCTTTGTGGACTTTAAGATGAGATGTCCCAATTTGACCATTAAACAGAAAGCAGTTGTATACTTCAAAGTATCAGTGTGTAATGGTTACGTGGTCATCTTATTTATTTTTTAGTTAATCTCGATCACTTTCCAAATGCTTGTGTCCTTTTATTTATAACTGCTGATTATGTATTCTGACCTTTTCTTAATCTGTACATTACACATAGGAGTTGCGCTCTATGACCATGCTAGATTTCCAGTGAATAAATGAGTATTACAGGTTAAATAGTTGATAATTTTGGTCAAGGTCTTTGAAGCAGAACTGCTGTAGGGGAGGTTATATTGCACCAGTGTATAAATAAGATCTATGTTGCCGAGAAAGATGGAGCCTTCTTGCCCATTGGTAAGTTGTATGTCCGAAGGAAATTTGGTGCAAATCTCTCTCTTGCAGTTTATATTGTAATTTTCTGTGTCTGATTTTGTAGCTAAAAGATCTCATTATCGATTGGCATTCATCATCTGTTGCACATCACTCATATTTCTGTGTGTACTCAAGTTAGCCGACATTCACCTCTTCCAGACCCTGCGTAAAGCGGGAGCCTTGTGCACTGGGTACGACCTTTTTTAATTGTTTTAGATGATGTAAACTGTTCTCTTCGTGTTTCTAATAGATTTAAGTTGAGCTGCATGCAGGACTTGGTGGCTCTTGCATGTCCATCCGTGATGCTGCTATTGGTGGAAGTGCGAGTTTTCAAACACAAGGTAAGCCATCTTTCTTTAAATAACTTCCCAACACCCAACCCTCGCCCTGCCCTGGTAACTATTGTTAAACGCTAATTGCATACTGCTTTTTGTCTTGTGTGACTGCATCATTTTGCTGCAGTTCAGTCTAGTTGCATATATGAGCTTGTAAGTCGGTTACTGGTACAGCTTGGGAAACTTAATAATAGTAGGTGCTAGAAGGAAAGTAGTTAAACGTAACAGGCAGATTAAGAGCCAGAAAAATGAGTGTTGCACCATGACTGCGTTTGCTTATGCCAAAAAACATTGGTCCTTTTTTAGGGAAATAAAGAGGTAAAGAATGAAGAGCCTTGGCTTTGTTCGGAAGCTGTAATGGGTAGTTGTAGTCATTGAGTTTAGTGGTACGCAAACTCTAAAAACATGCTTTCAACAATGCATCTCGTGTTTAGACCATAAAAACAATGAATCTTGTTGATAAATCATATATGTTATTATTTCCAATGTGCATGCGAATCTATAAGAAAAATGTGCTTCACCCATACAGAATACAGATACAGCCTTCCTTTCAACTCCAAGCATTTGGTTTCCTTTTCAGATGCAGATTTAAAGTGATCTTAGCCATGGCATTGTGGTGCTGATTTTTCTGGTTTCAACTGATCGATCATACTAATTTCCGCCATGTCATGATTTCGCCTTTTCAGATGATGATATATCCATGCTGAACTTGAGGCATCTAGGTTGAATTTACCACTGTCAAAGTGAAGAATTGCAGTATTTGATGTCATCTTTTTAAATATATGAATTTTCAAAGTTCTAAAAGCCGTCATAAAACCTATTTTTGCAGCATATACCGTCTCATAAGCTTTTTACATTCCATGCATGACACTGCATTGATGGCTTTGTTGCTAGAAATCCATTCTATGTACGCTTATTTTTGCTTTCCCCGAATGAAAATTCAATAATAAATGATAGGGTAAATTGCGGTTTAACCACCTGAACTATTACCCCAATCGAAATTGATCTTTGAATTTTATTTTATTTTTGGTAAATTAACTTCTAAACTATTTAAAATCAGTCAATTAACCCCTTGCCATTAAATTTCGTCCACCATTCCGTCAAATGCAAGAGAAAATTAGTCATTTCATTATCAATTCTTAATTGTCAATGGTAATCATCAATAAAATTGTAACACACGAACATAAAATAATGTGTAAAATATATAGCATAATAACGGATCAAATCATATTGTCATTACACATTATTTTGTATTCATGTCATAATTTTATAGGGAAATTAATGAAAATGATTTTAAAACTTTAAGTTTTAACGATAAGGACAAAATAAAAAGTAAAGTTAATAGTATTAAGTTTGACTTTTTAGTGTAAAAATGTAATTTTTCGTTAAAGTAAACAATATTGCAGGTTTTTGTTAAAACTCCCTAAATTTATTGATGGTTATGGTTGACAATCAAAAATTCATGATGGAAAACTAGTTTGCCCTTGAATTTGACGAAATAGTGGATAAAATTCTATCAACAAAAGGTTAATCGTCTAGTTTCAAATAGTTCAGGGAATTAATTTACCAAAAAAATAATCCAGGAGGTCAATTTCAACTGGATTAATAATTCAAGGGATCAAATGGCAATTTACCCTAAAAGATAAGACCACTTCCATGCAAAAGCATTTTACGAACTGCGAGACATGCAATGATCGTCTTCTATACCTGTGATCATACATGTAGAACCCTAGTCTATACTGTGTAGACTCGCACACGTACCAACAAATGGAACTTCCGATGATCCAAATCCACAAGCGGCATAGATTGCCGTATATCGACAATCCAGGATGCCTTGTCTCTCTTGCCCTCACACAGCTCGAGTACAAAAAAGGTAGACAAAACTGAGCCGGCGTTGAGTGAATCAACTTGAGAAAACGCATGCAGCATCTAAAGTTTTGGGCGACGACACAATCTCCTCAAACGGACTCGTTCCTGGAGGACATTAAACATCATCAGATCAACGGTTAAGTAGCTCGAGACTGAATCGAAAAAGGGAAATAAAAAGGATTAGCAATACTCGCCTTGCAGTTGTCGGGATTATACCGGATTGTGAAGACACCGGCGGCCCCTTATATCGTGCATTTTCCTTTGGATATCTGTAAATATGGGAATCGTAGTAGATTGCTTCATCTCTCCTCTCCTAGTAATTAACGAAACGACTAAAATGTAAGAGGCTACCAACTTGAAAGATCTAACGGTTAATTTACACCAAAATATATGCTACAACTTTGGAATTACCAGGATGCAGAGGACATGATCTCCAACCTTCAATGTACGACATTCTGAATGCTCCAGTGGCACGGAGCGCTCCCGCACTGCTTTTTTCACATTAACCCACTCATCCTCTTCGGCTCTGAATCCGACAAATCTGACACGAACTTCCTTTAATAAATGACAAAGGTCACTTAATGAACTTATGTATGGCTAGGTCTGGTTTTTGTACGCTGTTTTCCAAATCCAAGTGGTCTCCAACTCTCCGGTTAGACTTATACGTACTCAAAGTTCAGACCAACGTGTCGATCAGCAGTATATTCACGGATAGAGCAATAAGTTATGATTTAAATACTTACAGTTTCGCCCGTTCTAAGGAATCTGTGAGCAAGGAACTTTTCAACATCATACCTGCAAAGCAATATAAGAGAGTCGGGGAGAGAGAGGAGAAGGGCTGATAGGATTGGAGGAAAAAGATAGAAAGCGTCTCATGGTCTCAAAACATGTAGAGGTTCACGGTCAGTTAAAGCGTACAGATATAGCATAACGAACCAGAGATGAAAATTGAGTGAAAGAATAAAGTTTGGAGAACTATTTTACACTTGAAGAATGACTTTCAAGGTGAAGCCTGGACCTCAACTCAGTTGAAGAAAAAGCTTTTTCCATAAGAATTACAATCAAGGCAATCAGAACATAAATTCAACGGCGCACACAGTTGAAGATCGTTGCTATCAAAATATATAGGAAAAATCAAACATTGAAACTATATTTTAGTTTTCATTATACTTTCAAACTCTGTCCTATCTCTTGGCTTAACAATGAGGTGGCTGAATAGACATCGATCGAGGCATTAAACTTGTACTATTCACAGGATAGTCAGGTGTACATGAGGATCTATTTCCTTACATCCTTCACCAAATGCCTCGTATCAATCTTTTCATGATTTGTAACAAACGCCCAGTTTGCTAGGCTCACCAAATTAGGCCCAAGGTTTTGCCACAAAAAAAAATGCTAATAACCAACAAGATAGCAATAATGACAAACTGATGCATCCAACAAGAACACACGTAAAGGGACCGAGAAATTCAATGACAAAGTCATCCTTGTTTGTATACTAACCATGCCCCATCTTTTGATGACCTTGCCTCAAATTCCAACTCTGATACGTCTGGGATCTTTTCTTCTGCTTTCAACGGAAATTTGCAAAATTTTAGGTAAAATGATTTACGAATGATATTATGTGATACAGAAACAGTTCAAATAACTTGTTATAATGACATGTAGTGGCTAGCGTATAACAGAAAGAAAAAATCTCTAAACAACTACGAACACAGTTGAAAGCTTCGATTATCTCGGTTGGTCTGTCATTCACTATTTTTCTATTTTTGGGTACAACAGTTTAACACACAATAATCTGATTTAACCAGTTTTTAAAAGCCTTAGAAGCTTGTATAGTACTATATCCTAGACATAAAGCAACAAGTACTTGTGAGAAGCACCTTTAGGTATTTCGGAACTTTTGTGTGCCTTATTCGAAGGGTAATTTCTGCATATGTTTGGTGACTCTTTCACCCTATTCTCGAACCAGCTTTGCAACTAGGACCATTCCAACAGAGAAGCGCTTTAGACACGATTAATCAATGCCGCCTTATGGTAAAAACAACGGTAACAAGTGCAATCAAATGAAAAGCAGAAAAAGAGATAGAAAGTGTTAACCTCAGTCCATTTTACAATAGGTTTCCCAGCACGAGCTGCAGAGCGACTGCACAGGCATAAAACACCAAAGCAGGAGTTAGAGTCCGAAAGGATCATTCGGAAAGGGATTCAATCAAATACGATACGAAAGTCTAAGCATGAAATGAAACTCACTTAAAACTTTTTGCAGTACTTTGACAGAACTCTCGTTCCAGCACTTGCTCTCCCAATTCCCTCATCAATTTATCTATTGTTTCTGTCTGTTCGCAATTGTGGGAGCGAAAAACCAAAGTAAGTTCATCAGATATTCCCAAATTGCGAATTCAAGTAATCCTAAACAGACGCTAATGCAATGCTAATCACATTAAGCAAGCAGTAATCTCAAAAGAACACCTCAGAAGCTTTGGCTAATAATGAGATATATATATATATATATATATATATTAAAAGTTAATAATTTAAAAAAATAAAATTTTTCATCATTTATATAAAAACACACATTGTGTAACATTTGTATTTCGATCACAATGAAAAATGTTTTTAACAGGCCCAACTCAATCGTCGGCCCAGAAAAGGGTGTTATGACCCTTGTCCATATCATAGGTTTCGTATTTTCGGGCTCTTTTTATTTTTTTAATAAACGATATTTTCTACATTATGAGATGAAAAGTGTGCTAAATCTGGTTCAAATTCATCTTTAGCAATAATCAAACCTAATACATTTCACTTACAAATGAAGATGAATACTAATATTCCATAATACTAAGTGACAACCCTTTTTTGTTTTTTGTTTTTTTTTTTTCACTTTGTGTCTTCGAGATAAGAATGGACAAAGAAAGGTGATGGAAGAAAGGGGATGATCAATGTGTAAAAACAATATTATTTTGAAACTGGAAACAAGATTATATTAGTTTATATCAAAATGCTTAAAATATTTGACAACTTAATAAATATAACTAACTTAAAATTAATGAACCATTAGAAAACACATTTTTATTGTTTTGCTTTATTTTGTTGTCAAACATTTTAAGCCTTCAGATATAAATTAGTATAACCTTGTGAGTAATATACATTTGGTCCTCATAGGTCCTCAAAATGAGGAACTTAGACCAACTCAAACCCTTGGAGTAAGTTCTAAAATTTACCATATATTCCCCCCCCCCCCCTTTCCCAACAATTTCCTTCCAACCCTTGGGCCAATTTGGGGCTATGGGTTAGAAGCTCAAATTTGACCAAATTCCGGCCAAAAATGTGGGTTGGGTTAGTGGTGTGCCCCACATGTTAGAATGGAAAACGGAAGGTGAAGCCCAAATACCCAGCCCTCACCCACGCACACCCTTGCACGTGCTTGCTTTGCAGCAACCGAACCCCACCAATGTGGGCTTGTCCCCTGGCTGTCTGAAGTTCTTAATGAGCCTAACGACTCCTTTTTCTAATCCACGACCACAATTTAAATGGGCCGTTGATTGATCCAATGGTTCACGTTCAATTTTTTAATTTTTTTTGTTTTATATTTATAAATTTATAGTATCCAACGGTTGAGATCAAATATGATCAAATCCAATGGTAAAAAAAAGATCTAACATCCCAAATTTAAATCCAATGGCTAAAATAATTTTAAAAAAATTATTTAACTCAAAATTCACCCAAAAACTCTATAAATACCTATGTATTTGTTCAAACATCCACACAAAACTCACTTTTCTCTTACAATTCTTCCAATTTTTCTTTCTACCATCTTCCAAAGACCTCACCTTTAACCATGGTTTATTAATGATCTGATTTAGTGCTTTTTCCATAGTGTTTCATGAGTTTCATGTGTCCATTTAGTGATTTTCCAATATTTAACAGAATTTAAATATTTTTATGTTAAAATGTTCATAAAATTAAGTTATGATAGTCTACATAATTTTTTTTTAAATTTAATTTTAAAAAAAGTCTAAATTCATTTTTTAATAATATGTGTTAAAATTTTAGGCCAAAATAGTTGGAGTAAAAAAACTGTTTCTGGGTTAAAACCTAAATTTTATGGGTTAAAAATTTTAAATTTTACTCCAAGGGTTGGTGATGGTCTTAAAAGAGCAGGACTCTTACCATTAACTGTTGTACAATGTTGATACTTGATTACATGTTAATATTGACTAGTGACGCACATGTAACATAAAAATTACATATAATAATTACTTAGACTTTTGTCAATAAACGAGGGTTTTAGTCTTAAATTATAAATGTAGTAATAAGTCATGAATTGTCTAAATGGATGTTTTTTTTTTTTTTTTTTGTTCATTCACTCTCGGTGAATATGATTATTTTTTTAATTTACTGTGTTTCAAATTTAGTAAAAAAAAAAAAAAATTAACTCTATGTCGTTTGACTTGACCAACACTTGGGGCTTATAGGAGAGGACGAATTCATAATAATTGAACTTGACATAGCTTAATTTGTAGGCAGTTTCGAATGTTAGGTAGCAACTCTTTTTAGGGGGTCCAACAAAATCATCACGCATCCACATGCATCAACCATGATGAATGAAAGTAAGGAAGCAAGTATGAACTAATTCAAGGACGTGGCTACCATTCGTATTCACACAGGCATGTGCCTGTGTTTGGTGTTAGGTGCGATGCCAAAATTAATTTAAAGTTGATTTTGTTGGAGTCTACGAGAAAGTTGGAGCGTTGGTTTCTAAATTTTAGCTTGATTAAAATTTTGCATTTATAAACTAAAAATTGATTCTGAACTTGCCACAATGATAAGTAATGATTAATTATGTTGGTAACACCGTTTTCAACTAAAATAAATGGTTCAAAGGGACAAATAAATGATGAAACTTTTGATGGAGTTATTCAAAAGGATTACTGCTTCACATCGCAACAAATTCAATGACTAATACTCACTGATTTTTAATTTAAGGTTAAAATTTTGCATTTATAAATTAAAAATTGATTCTGAACTTGCCACAATGATAAGTAATGATTAATTATGTTGGTAACACCGTTTTCAACTAAAATAAATGGTTCAAAGGGACAAATAAATGATGAAACTTTTGATGGAGTTATTCAAAAGGATTATTGCTTCACATTGCAACAAATTCAATGACCAATACTCACTGACTTTTAATTTAAGGACTAAACCGTCAATTCGACTACAATTCAAAAACCAATGCTTGTTGTAAAATCGACGGTGTGTGCAGTGGAATAAATAAACAAGACACAAAATTTACGAGGTTCCTCTACAGTCAGTGTGACTAGAGTACGTCATCGGGGTAGCAGCAGTGCTTTTATTTATAATCTAAAGTAATAAGATTACAAAGATAATTCTCCTCTCTCTTTTCTCCCTCTCTGACGTGAGCCTTGTGGCTTCTCACTTCTTCATCTCTTATTCCTTTTATCACTTGTAATGCTCTATTTATAAAGCAAACATTATGAAAGCAAACAAAAAGTTCACTATTTAACTTGTGAACCTTTACTATATACATGTGGGCAAACACATCCATTATTTTACAACAATGCTCGAATTTTCTGGGGTCACAAACAGAGCATTCTTTCATGAGGTGCCGTCAAAAGATAAATACAAATGTATACAAATGTACAAAGGTTTCAGACTGGGTAGTCTAGGCTCTTGAAGACTTTTTGGAACAGATTCAAACCCTTGAGAATGGTAGCATAATTTTTCTTACCATGAAGTCATGAGTGGCCCAAAAATAGTAGGTCGTAGTCTTATCTGTATGTGTTGGGAGTCGGCATATTTGAAAATAAAAGGATTTTCGACATGTTCATACGGATAGAAACATGCATGCTTGCTTGCCGGTGATCTTACGCACCAACTTGGGGTTCTCAAGTCCAGTAGATTTTGGATCAGACCGTATCATAATCATTAATCACGCGGTGTATAATAAGCTTACGCATATTTTGATGTCCATGATTAGCTTCAATTGAATAAATCACTTAATTCATTAAATACCGAACCAAAAATATAAATACTCAATTGTATATTTTGTCCAAATAAAGTAGAAGATGGATTAGCTATAAAGAAAACTTATTCCAACAAAAATAGTAGAACTGGAAGGATAAACTTTGTTTAATTTATAATTAATCTATTGTCTAATTTCAACATTTACAAATATTGCAAAGTAGCATATATTTATTCATTCAACATTTATCGAATCTAGTGAGTTAACAATTTTCAGTGAATCATAAACACCAAACAATGCCTTATGTAAAAGGGGTGTAATATCCACACACCCCTTTTTACTTCTTCCATACCTTTTTGGATTTCGGCCGTCGGATCAGATGAATTGAAGAAGATCAACAAACAGAAATCAACAAATGGTGTATAAGAAGTAAAAAGGTCCGCACATCCCATGTTAAAATACTTGTTTTCTTACACACCACTAAACAAATACTACACAATAAGTTGTTAAATGAGATGACTCAAATGTGATTTGCAAGCTAACTCCTATTTAATGATATAACTGATTTGAGAATAATTGCATGAGCATGACATATAATCAAAACAACTAAACAAATTACTTACGTAAATAGTTAGGATTTTATTCTCTACAAATAAAAATAAAATCTCCAAAAGTAGGAAAAGAAAACTTGTTTGACAGGTCTCGGTCAAATTCCCACAGATGAAAGTGCGGATCGTTCACCATTACGAGCTTTGATACAAAGGCACGAGAGAATTTTCAATGTATTGGAAGTACGATCTGGTATATCAAGTATAAGGATACAACTGCTTGAAAATTTTTGAAATTTTTTTAACTAATTATACTATAATACTTGATGTACCAAATGATATTATCCAGGTATACCAGACGTTGTTCCCGTATAATGAAATATTTCTCCATAGGCACAACAGGTTGAGTGGATTTCAAACAGATAATAGCTTCACCAGTCACCACCTTAGGAAGTCAGAACGCTATTGCCAATGCTTATACATGCATAACACATCCACCACTTGCACCAGAGAATTTTAGACCTAACCAGAAGACCGACACGACGACACGTGATGATATTGTTCTTTTAACTCAAACTATATTGTGTACTTATTTTATGGCAATATTTCGTAGGGTATACTAGAGAGGCTAAATGTATAGATTAGAAGATTAAATTATTATTTAAGTGTTAATTAATATGTTTATTTCTTATTGATGATCTATCATTTAATTTGCATATATTTAGTTTACAAATTAATCTTCCTAACATGACTACATTGTAATAATTAGAAGTAATACATGATGACGAGTGTTCTCGATACACATAAAAAAACTCTTTGTATAAATACGAGAGATTCTTTTGTAGTATACCCACAAATAACTGCACAAAAATATTTTTCCCTTTCTTTTAAAGAGGAATAAAGTAACTACTACCAAGAATTGGTCAATTTCG